GCATACTACCAAACTTCCACCTGTGTATTTATAATTTTACAGATTGAAACACAAAATAGTTTTCATTTCTTGTTTGTATTGGAGGGTTGTCCAATACTGTTGAGTAGATTCCATTGGAAAAAGGGATCTTACGAATCGTTCGACTTGACAACCAATCCGACTGATTGAGTTGTCGATCGGAAAATTGCATCTCATTAGCGGGACTTAGAAAAATTAATATTTCACAATATTCCTGTGGCGGGGCCCTGGTGAAACTTTGTCGATTCAATTGATTCGTTCGAGTCGTCGAATGGAGAATTTTATTGACCATCTGACAAGTGACGTTGTCGATCGGATAATTGCATCTCATTAGTGGGACTTTAAAAAATATTTCACGACATTCTTCTCTGGTAGAGGCCAGTAAAACTTTGTCTATTTGATCGTTTTGTTCGATCCGTCGAATGGAGAATTTTATTGACCATCCGACAAGTGGAGTTGTCGATCGGAAAATTACATCTCATTAGTGGGACTTCGTTTGAATTCGAATTCGTTTGAATTGTCAAATGGAGTAATTTTATGACGAACCGGCAAATGGATTTGTCTCTATCGAAAATATTGCTTTTCATTTAGCGGTTCTTAAGAAATACTTTAAGATAACCGCTTGTTTAAGGGCTTCTATGAAATGTTAGTGTTTTGAGGCTTTCTCTCGCTGAGCTGCGTATGCCGGTTGGTTGTACTGATTATATTTTTGATTAGCTTTGATGTTTAGTCGTCTTTTGACAGTAGTACTTTAATTATCATCGTTTGTTTTGATGTGTTTTACTATTTTATCAATTGCGTCTGAGCCACTTGATTTTGCTGGTAGAGACGGTTATTTTTTCTTACTAGAATTGTTTTACAGTGATGCATACATTATTACTAGAGCTTGCACTTAATTGAAAATAGGGAATTTAATTCTATTTTTTGTCAACATGGAGTATAACCACAATCAGAAAATAGGTCCCCAAGACGTAACTGTGTCTAGTCTTCAGTAATTGAGATTTATACATTGTTGTATTTTACAGTCACAACGGTTATCCAATACTGTCGAGTAGATGTTCCCAAATAGCTGCCCTACAAAAGGGTGTCTCAGACTTTTGAATTTCGACCTCGTTAAAAACTTATGGCTTTGTTTGTTAAAGGATATCACAAGCTTTCGAGCATCAATCTTTAGGGTGGTATAAAAAGAAAACAAAGCGATCTTTGAGGAATCGGAGACACCCTTTTGAAAAGCAATGTGTAATGAATCATTTGCGATGTTAAACACATTGCGGCGATAATCATGGCTATAAACGAACTTGAAAAAAAAGAAAGGGTAAATATCGCTTCGCTGCGCAAAATTTAGAAAACTTT